GGGTGTAGCGTTTTGAAGTTGTGTTGAGTACTAAATAACAGGTGAAAGGGAGTTTTTTCTTTTTGAAACCCTAAATCTAAGCCTGTTCACTAAAATGAAGCAGACACCTGTTAGCCAGGTTGTCACAGAAAAAAAATCTTCGTGAGGAGCCAGTGTAAAGTAAAGCCTTCAAATGAAAATCAGGACTTAAAGATTCCTTTGCATTTCTTTTCATAATAAACGATGATACAGTTTGGCCTCTTACACAAATTGTTTGAGATGACTGGAATGGCAGGGGTTGAGCACAACTCTGCTGTCCCCTGAACGCTACACCTGCGAGCACTTCCTGATTAACTGAAGGTTTTACTTTGCATTCTCAGATTCTCCTTTCCAGCTTAATTTGTTTTCCCAGAAACCATCTCATCCACTGCTGAGCTATACTGCCAAGGATTGCAAATTCATAGCACTTACTGATGGCACCACACGAGATTTGTCCTACAGAGCTCCAGAAAAAGGAAAACTACCACTGATGGAAGAGTTTGCATGTGTGAACACGCATGATTAACTCATGCACACCCATTCAGGACAGAATGAACTCTTGCTTGCTTCTCCTGTTCAGGGCCCTTCTGTCAAAGGTTTTTCATTTGGCTTTACAGCATAACCTTTGGAATACAGAATACATGTAGTAGCCTTGTTTGAATTTCTGGATAAGGGTTACAACTTTTTGTAGAGGGGATAATGTTGGAGTGGGGGGAGGGAGCTCACATTTCAGTACGGTCTTCCCCTTACAGTTTCATTGCATACTAAAATCTGGGCTACGTGGCACACAGCAGCCTTCTGAGGAGGACACTGATACCATGCACAATGCAAATCTATGCTGGGACTAGGTGAATGGTTTATTTAGACAGCTGAATTGGCCCCCTTGTAACTGAAATTCATACTGATGATCCCCTTGCAAGACCATGGGACCAGCTGTGACTAGTCTAGAAGAGCACTGGGACACTGTCTCCCACAGTAGTCTTGTACCCAAGTCAGGACGTTACAGTCTGGATGAACCGACAACCACATAACTAAGAAACCAGTTGGATGGTTGGGCTCAGAGGGAAGTGGTTAATGGGTTGTACTTTACCTGGAGGTCAGTTACAAGTAGAGTGCCGCAGGATCTATACTAGGATCCATCCTCTTTAACATCTTTATCAGTTACCTAAAGGAAGTGTTAGACGACACTCATGGTGTTTGTGGATGTGGGACCAGTCAATGCACACACTCAAGGGCAGAGCTGCCATCCAGAGGGACCCAGACAGGCTGGAGGGATGGGCCGACAGAAACCTGATGAAATTCAGCAAGGACAAAGGCCAAGTCCTGCACCTGGGGAGGAAGGACGCCCTGCAATGATACAGGCTGGGGACCACCTGCCTGGCTGGGGAGCAGCTCTGCAGAAAGGTCCTGGGGGTCATGGTGCAAAGGCAGCCAACAGCATCCCAGGATGCATTAGCAGGAGCATGGCCCGTAGACCAAAGGATGTGATTATAACCTCCCTGTACTCAGCACTTGTGAGAGTGGATCTAGATACTACATCCAGTTTTGGTCCCCACAACACAAGACAGACAATGATAAACTGAGATGAGTTCAGCTGGGAGCCACCAAGATAGCTGGGGACTGGAACACTTGCCTGCAAGGAGCGACTGGAGGAATGGGGCTTGTTCAACCTAGGCAGGAGATGGCTTTGAGGGGGGACTTACATCAGTCTGTAGAGCCTGCGAAGAGGTCATCAAGACAGTGGAGACAGGCTCTTCAGCAGTACATAGAAGTAGGACAAGAGACAACAGGCATAAATTGAAAGTGGGGGCTTTCAGACTGGATATAAGGAGAAACTTTTTCATGATGAGGACAGTCAAGCAGGACAACAGCTGGCCCAGAGGAGTTGTGCAGTCTCCATTTTGGAGAAAACCTGGTGGTTTTTAAGACCAGAGTGGATAAGGCCTTGAAAAACCTGGTCTGACTTCACAGCTGGCCTTGCTTTGAGCAGAGGATTGAATTACAGGCCTCTCAAGATCCCCTCTGATTTGAATTATCCAGTGACTCTCTATGAAGGAAGTTCCCCATCCAGCTATCACTTATCCATGGGGAACACCAGCACTGTAGCATCCTCACCCCAGTAGGTAGTTAGAGAATATGACAGTGAAAGCTTTCACAAAGTCGAACTCCACTGCAATAAGAAAGAAAATCTTGTCCATTCAGTGGCTTTCTCCCTTTTTTCCACTGTTCATCAGCAGTGTGCTATAGAGTGTGCATGTTCAGCAAACAAATCGGGGGGGGGGGGGGGGGGGGGCGGGGGTCGACTGCAAACAACTCA